TATATACATGCCCAAAAATTGATGAGCGCCCGATTCAACCACATTGTGACTCATGGACATTATATAGTTCTAGATAGGGCCTCCATTTATCAATACATTACATTTCTAGCATAGCCGTCCATAACAAGCGACTTCCCCAACAAACGCTAAAGAGAAGGGACCCTAGACCTAATCCTACCCCAAACCCTACCCCGATCCAAATTTATAGATTTCAAAGTGTGGTCGCTCGTTACGGAATTCCTCCCACAGACTAAGTCGTCTACGTTACTACTAGACTAGATGACTATGGCATGGTCACTAGGACTATAATAAGTGACTACGTTCACGGCGCCCTGGATCGTCCACCATTGGCACAGAGGCACGACTGAAACGCTACGGTCGCTCAAAGTGAATGAAGAAACAGCACAGGAATATTCGCGAAAAATAATGCAGCGGTGGTCCGAATGCAACAGAGTTTACGGAAGGCGAAGGCGGGCACAGCAAAACAGCAGCGGTCGACAAGGCATCGCTCGCTCAGCGTGCCGAACACACCTTCGATTGTCTTCCTGTCTGTGGACCTGGCAACGCTCGACAATTTGAAAATAAAAGTTGTTCGAAAAAACAACCTTGGGAGAATGGAAGAAGGCCAAGGCAGGAAGAGGGGTGGGAAAGGGTGAAACACACACACACACACACACACACACACACACACACACACACACACACACACACACACACACACAGGAACTGACACACACATTACAGAATCCGACACATGCATGACATAAACAGACACAAACGTGACAGAGGCAAACCCAAATACGTTTGTGATATTGTAGCATTCAATGTTCATGCTCAGTGAGTCTTCTGAGAGGAGGAAAAACGCTCCCAGATTCAATCCGCATGCCACAAGGGTAGGAGCTTTGAGTCCTTTTCATTAAGTCACTGCACACCCTCATACCCTGTGATTCTTGTCATGTAAGATAATGGTTTGATACTAGAGCCAGAAGTTTAACTCCGTAAAACAAATGCGAAGTTATGCTAGACATTATTAATATAAAAATTTCCCTCAAATTCAAAGGTAGTTAGTAAAAACAGACGGATAAACTCGATGTAAAATAACTTTTCTGCTCGGGAAGCGAACTCGCGTCTTCTGCATGCAATGACAAAGAGCCAACTTTTACACCACGCAACAGATTATAAAACAAAAAGTCTGAACACTTTGCCATCATCCCCATCACTCCATTTAACCTGCTCTCGCCTTTCATTTGTCTTTCTTCACGCTGAAGAAATTTTGAAGAAAAAACAAACTTTTGGACTCTCACTTAATTTTGTTCCTCTATCCAACGGCATTCCACCCTAAAATAGCGACACATGACTTTTTTAAAAAAGATTGAGAAGGCAGGAGGAACATCCGGCACATCCAATCCCTTTTGAGTTCTCAAAAATTACCGAAAAGTGATCTCTTTGGAAGCAGAGGAACTCGAAAGTCCCTTCAGGTGGCCATCACACACGATACAAGAACGCGTTCTTCAGAACATGCTCTTGAGACTACGTAAAAAAATAAATATCACTCGTAACCTGAACATGATGAAACTCCGTGAGCCTCCATTTTTAGTGTTTATCCAATCTACAGCAGTAAGCAGTGCGACAGGGGCAAAATCCCTGTCTTACAATTACAAAATAATTGTGTCAATACTTTTGGCCTTGGTGAAACACTACCAGCAGAAAGTATGCTTTCGTGAGCATGACATATAACGTCCAACTCCAATACAAAAAGCTTTTAACATAAAACGAGTACAAACAACTTCCAATTCGATGAAGTAGATCCCCCGTCAGCTTCACCTTCCCTGAACAGGAAAACATACTCTGGATATACCTAAAAGCACACAAAAAGTTACACACTAAAAGACATAATGAGCATTACATTAATCGATGAATCGATGTAGAATAGTAAAATTGTACATGAAGACACAAAAGTCACTAGTAAAAAACTGTTCCGCACATAAATGGAAAAATTATCAGCCTAAGAATGGAAAGAGCTTGGGGTCAATAAATGTCACTATAAATACAGCTGATCCGCCTGCCCGTCAGTGCCAGTCAACAAAACTCTCCAGGCATTTCGGGACGACGTTGTGGTAGCTTAGACTGTGCTCTTTGAGGCACCGGGAGGCCAGACATTTGAGAGTGACGCTGGCGTGGAGATTGAGGGTGCTCTGAGTGGCACTGGAAGTGGCCAGGGTAAGAGGTGTCTGTCTCTTATTGTTAGCGATATCCGGGTGTGCCCCGGAGGTCAGGAGGTGTTTGATGATCTTCTGCCGCACAGCCTCCTTGTCAGCCTCCAGCTTAGCGTTGACGATGATGTGCAGCGGGGAGTTTCTGTTGCAGTCAAGGGCGTTCACGTCGGCACCACATCTGACGAACATCTCCCCCAGGGCCGAGTCGGGGAAGATCACCACAGAGTTCACATGAAAGTCGTCCACGCAAATTCCTGGATCCAGAACAATGTGGAGTGGGGAGTACCCGTTTTTCAGGCAAGGCTTCATGTGGAGAAAGGAGTAGACTGTCTTGTGGAGAGCGTTGCTCTCCTCCTCCGAAGTAACAACTCGCAGGCCCGTGGTGATGAGGTAAATGACGGAGAGAATATTTGTCTGGTAGAGCTCCATCGCTGTAGACTTCGAATCACACGCCGCCTCTGCATTACGGCCCGAAAGAAAAAGTTGAAGTTCTTTCAGCCCATGATGAAGCACCCGTTCTACATCGGAATAGTCTAAATTGGCCACCAAAGTCACCATCTGTGCAAAAACTTGAGAAAATCGGAGTAGATCTTTGGCAATTGAGCGTCCATTTTTCTGCCGGAGCACCATTGCACGCATCCACAGAGCTATGCAGCGATCAAACCGCCCACTGTCAGCGAATACAGCTCCTCTGAAAATGACGGGATGTGGGATTTCAGGGTTGTCCGCTCCCAGGATGCGCTCGCGTATCGTCAGAGCCTCCATGTGGAGGGCGTCCCGGTTGTGACGTATCGCCTCCAGCTCCTGCATGCTCTGACACTCCACCCGGTTACCGTAGGCAGGGACAGGGGGGTAGTGAGGTTTCCTGATCACATCGTTTCTGGGAAATGATACAATGAAACAAAAGATGACTGAGCAATAGCAGCATGTCACAAAAACAACTACCTTTATGTGATGTCAGCGGTCTAGTGGCTAAGCTGTTGGACTTGCAACCATGGTCATGGGCTCAAAACAAGGGGTCCAAATATGTCATGAGAGGGCCAGATTTTGACAGCAAGTCCACTGGCACTGAGACAAGAGACTGTTGTCCCGGTCAATAAGCTAAGCTGAAAATTAGTGCTGACAGTAGGAATGCACACCCCCCCCCCCTTCCCCAGGCAAAGAAGGGATTATGTTTTAAAAAATTTGTTGCTACCACTTACATGTTCCAACTTCAATTTTTAAGAGCTTTACTCTGAAAAACACTAACGAAAGCCACACTCTATGGCAAACAAATACATATCTAAATAAATGCAAGTGAAAATGTGAATTTGATGTCATTTACGTTAAGTTGCATAAATATTGCATAAAAATTCCACACTAACACGTATTTTAAGCAAATCTGATTAGGGTATTTCTCTAGGCAAACAAAGATTAGGGACCTCCGATCTTAGCAAAGTACTTTGCAAGTCTGTAATTTCAACATATTATATTCATGGTAAAGTTCAAGGTCATATAAATATATGTCACATCCTTCAGTATCAATACCTGTGGAAAACACTAGGTCTTGAGCTTAACTCACTTGTGAGAACAGAACGTCCGTCTGGTGTCATACAGCCGTAGAGCCATCGCATCTCTCAAGTAGTCAAACGTCTTCTGCAAGCTGTATGTCTCTTTGTCGTTGGCAAACGATGCCCCAAGGAGCTCAAGGGCTTCGATTCTCCGATCCTAAAAAATACAATAACAGCTTATCTATCGCTTCTGGGAAACTTTCTTTAGTAGTACAAAGGCATGGTATTGAGAAAAAAAAAACAAACCTTTATCCTTCTTTGGCAGAAGCTTGTCTTGTTCGTTTTTTAGAGAGTTTTACGGCGCTTGCAACTGCATACGGTCATATGAGCGTGCCAGACACATTAAACATTTTCAGTTTGGTCGAAATTAGTTTTGAACTTTGCCTGGATGAAGGCAGAAGCCTACTCTTATCGAGTTTGAACCACCAAGGGATCTTTAACAAGCACAACTTGCACACGGGACACAAGATTTTTCGCCCTTATCCGAGAAGGCTAGGTGTTTGATCTTATCTACCATACGATCAGGCGTGTGGCTGAAAGACAGTAGTAAGAAGGAGTTAAGGAGTAGCAGTAGAAAGGCTGCAGAAAGAGTAAGAAGTCCAGAGGAGGGGGCAAAGGGGAAAGAGGGCGGGGTGGGGGCAGAAGGTGGAGATGAAAACAGACGACGGAACATGGTTAGAGAGCAGGAAAGAATGTGAAAGGAGAATATTTTAGAGAAGAAAAGTTCCCGTTGCTGTCAGTTCACCAACCCCGGATCTACTGAATGAGAGCGAAAACACCGTCATCGAAAATTTAAAAAAAAAAAAAAAAGAAGAAAAAACTTTTCTTTTTAGCCATGTCCTACAGTACTTACTTAATTTGGAGAAGCTTTATTCGTATTCAGCAATTAACCCGATGATGAAAAAGCTTTAACCCTTTGTCATGTTCTACAGTATTAACCCAGTGAAGTAGAAGTATTAGCCGTGTTCTACAGTATTTACCCTACTACAGTCCGGCTGCTTGAGGAAATAGTTGACAATGTCCTCCTTCCCGCACTCTGCAGCCACCATCAGGGGGGTCATTTTGAGGTCATTCTCCACCATGGCAGCTCCAAAGTGAACCAGCTCCTTCACCACCTCCAGGTGGCCGCACTCCGCGGCAAAATGAAGAGACGTGGCCCCGCAGTGAGCTTTGAGATCAGGATCAGCTGCCTTCTCCAGCAAATGACGTACAACCTGTGGGTGTGTGTGTGTGTGTGTGTGTATGTGTGTGTGTGTATACGTGTGTGTGTGTGTGTGTGTG